CCCCAAAACCCCAAAACCCCAAAACCCCAAAACCCCAAAACCCCTTTTTCAGAAGTGTTGTTGAAGGCAGATTTTGGCTTTCATTTCATTCAGCTTTCCAGAAAAGTTTCTAAGTCATTGCCTACTTGTCTTTAAATATTGACGATATTAGGTTGTTTGAATGATCTCTAAGAGTATCAACAGACATCTGGAACTTTATATAGCATTCTCATAAATTGATGAACTCCTTAAGATCATGGACCATTTTGGGGGACATTTGGGTTGCAAATAAGTGAGCTTCTTCTATATTGCCGTCATTCAGAGCTTCTTCAATATAATTCATCAATCTCACATCACGGCATACAGTTGAGTCATCTTTGAGGACATGGCTAATAGCATATTTCTTCTCGAATTTGACATTGTCAAGGAGTAAATATGTGTATGAATAGTACATTGTCCGTCCGAAAAGATTCAATAAAGTTTTCTTTCTTTGGAATCAATCCCAATAATAGTCATTTCTCTTCTCCAAGAAGAACTTATGCAGCTGTTTGGCGGTGATTACATTGGTCGAAGTGCGGTATTTTGACAACAAGTCATTGGTAATTGCTATCAATAGCTCATCCTGCCCTTGAGAGGTCTCTTGTAGTTTCTTCAGATCAGCTGAAATGTCTCCTCCGACCATTTTGGCTCTATTCATCTTGGTGCACAAAGTATCAATGTCATTGTAATAACTAAGCATGTTGATTTTCTTACTCATACTCATATGATTGAGCTTCTCAAGCCTCCTCTTACGTTGACTGAGGTCTTCTCTAGTGATCCTGATTTCGTCTTTCATCCTATTAATCATTATCTGGAGGATGGCTTTTTCGTCTTTGAGGTTTCTGATGTCAGCCATTTGGTCAGTCCCTCTTTCAATGTTGTTGAAATCGTCCTTGTTGTAGCTGTTGAAGTACTTCTTCAACTTTTCATAGCTTGAGGTGGCTGTTTCATGGTCCCTGTAGTATTCTTTGATCATGAATTTGAGTCTAACGTATCTGGACTTGACATCTTGTCTGACACTTTTGAGATCTTTGGGAACTTTCTTGTCTATATCTTTGATAAATTCTTCCCCTTCTTCCATCAATTCTTTGACTTTGTGTAGGTATGAGAGCGCCATAGGTTCATTTTCAGCCTTGATTTTGCTGAATTCTTGCAGAAATGACCTTGATCTCTCTTGTAGACCTTTGAATTGATTCTTACGATAGTCTTCAACTGCTGATTCTGCTTTGTCAAACTCGTTTTCGAGTTCCTGTATTTCGTTCTCGACTAAGTTTCTTAGTCTTTCAAGTTTTTCAAGGTCTCTTTCAACTTTGGATTTTTGAATATCAAGACCGGAGAAAGCCTGTTGGATTTCGCCATGGACTTCTCGAATTTTTTCGGTGATCTCTTTGTATCTGGTAGGATCTGGGATCTTGTTTAGCCCAAGGAGCTTATCGACCTCTTCATTAATTTCTTTCTGCTTTTTAAGGAGCTTAATATCATATCCTTCAGGGATAAGTTTGAATTCCTGCTCTAGCTCTTGTTGGATAGTAGTTCTAATGCTTTTGATCCGTTCCTCTCTTGCTCTCCTGATGATGACCTCGTCTCGCTGAGAAAGAACTTTGGCCTTCTTCTCTTTCCTTTCGATGCCATCCAGAGCAGATTTCTCTTCATGTTCTTCTAGTGAGTTGTTTATGACGAATGCCATGCCACCGAAAATTATGAGAAAGAGGAGGAGACGTCCTGGCTTCCCTTGCTGAGGCTTCTTAACAGGTGGGTGAGTTTCATCAGCTTCAGTATTCTCGATTTTGTCAACCTTCACTTCAGCTTCAAGGGTTGGAGAGGCCTTGTCTTGTGCCTGAGGCTCAACCAGTGTTTCAGTCTTGCTCTGAGTGTCAACTTGCTTCTGTGTTGAGAAATATCTACCATGGCAGCATACAATGTTATTAGGTTTTACTGTATGAACTCTTCTAGAAAATTTTAGTTTGCTTAAAAATACCTAATTCTTTGACTCAGGACAGCTCTGGAGCAGATAGTTAGCATCCTCTTTCTGGAGATGTAGGCCGCTCTAAAAGTATTGGCAAATTAAGCCTACCTTAAAATCATTTTATAGCAATTTCTATTATTATAAAATTATAAGGGGTTTTGGGGTTTTGGGGTTTTGGGGTTTTGGGGTTTTGGGG